ACAGATATCACTGTGATAGATTCTGACAAACTGACTATTTCCACTGTTATATATATATATATATATATATATATATATATATATATATATAATATTATTTAACCTTGCTTCATATCCATTGTGTTAGAGTTAATGAGATAATCAAATAAATCCGGATCGTGGTAGGTGAAATCCAAGTACCATTATATTTGTATGCATACTTGGATTATATCTTTATTTTTTTTTTCCATTGAATAAACGTCTTCATGTTATTCATTTTGTCGATTCGAAGTTGTAGATGTTAAATCGTATTTGTATTATTATATTGTTTTCCTATTTCTTCATTACTTATCATTGTGTGTGTGTTCTTTTCTATCAATTCAACATTTACTAGTCTATCCTATTGCGTGTTCATAACGAATTAAAGGTGCAGTTACGTCATCGTATTAGTGAACTTGGTATTGTTGCCGATGGTGGACCTCAACAAAGGTAATTCACTGATCTTATTTATCTCCAAATCACCATAATCTGATTTTAATTACATTTTCTTATATCATCCTACATGTTTATTCATCGTCTGAAGTATAGCTTGAATTACAATAGTTATGTATTTAGAAGCTAAAATAATTTGAAAACATATTATAGTTTTGTAATCCTTGTTCTTTTATGTGGATGTTTTTGTGGATATTTGAATTTTTACTACAGATTAAAATCATTTGAAGGACCCTTGGAAATTACGAAACACTACTCAGTTATTTCATCCTATTATGAAATTTCTTATCACTAAATACCGTTTACGTACTGTATATTCGAAAATATTGACACTCTTCAACAATCCAAGCAAGCGGTCTTAGTCAAAATCTAATAACTTACATTTCCAACCTCGATCAATTCTGTGTTCTAGTACAGATTGTTTTCTAATTTCATCACTAAGCAAAATCATCTCTCAGTCGTCATGTAACCTCATTCTATCGTTTGACGAGAAGCCCTTGTAATGTAACCCTCATAAATCAAAGGTCATTTAGTTCCGTAGTATCGATCCGATTAATATGGAGATAATTCATCTCATGAAATGATTGTCGATTAAATGAGTCTTTTATTCCATCCAGTACAATTTCTTGATTTTCAACACCTTAGTTGATCGCAGTTTATATCGAGAGCTTTGTGAAGGTGTATTTCGTTTTGATATCTTGAAGAAGCTTCTAAAAATAGAATTCTTTCTCATTATAATAACTGAAATTGGTTTATTCGAATAAGCAAACGGTTATCATCCTAAGTCAAGTTCTGCTCTGCCGAGTCCAAAATAGGACGGAACGCGCTTTCTGGATTCTCCTGCTAGCCACCATCCACATCTGTTTATATTAATTATTTTTATGTTGTTGAAATGTTCACTGTTTGTTGTTCGTTTTAAATAAATTTTTATGTAGAAAGTAGGTTGATGAAACAACCGGAAGTAAACATCTTAATTTTAGCCAAACATATTTTTTTCTCTTGACACAGTGTTTACTGGCAGGTTAAATAAGATTATATGGTTTATATGTGAACATTCAGTAGTTGAATTCATGAGTGAATTGAAGCTAGATCACCATGGAAAGCCTGGAAGCACTGGACGGCCGTTTCGTCCTAGTATGGGCACTGCGCATCCATTCGTTAAAATTTAGATGATATTCAATATAAAAATTATCTTTAATATAATCTAAGCGGTTGGAATGTAAGTAGTTCAAGCGTTTCACTCAATAAACTAGTCCGAACGTCCTTAGGGAAGTAATCGTAATCCATATTATCAAAGAATGTATAAGGATTAATAGCAAAATTACACTACGAGTTTGTCCAATCATATTTATTTTGTACACAGTAAAGTCATGAGGCAGTCTGATGTAAAAATTAATCACCGGATTAGGATTCAAGGGTATGTGTGTGCGTATATCTGCATGCAGTTGTTATGTAGAGAAAAGGGCTTTTAAACGTTCACATTTTTTATCTCATCAACTGACTGGATTAATAATAATAGTTCAATATAACTTGTGAGGCAGTTACTCACTGAAGACAATGGTGAGCCGTTGCCTAATATCGTGGATTGATTAAAATTAGACATTCACACCGTTGGGTGCCGGCTCAATGGTCTAGAGGATAAGCGTTCGCGCGTGAGATCGAGGGCCCTGGATTCGAGTCTCTCTTCGTGCGAGATCATGGATGCGCATTGTTGAGGAGTCCCATACTAGGACGAGACGACCATTCGGTGCTCCCAGGTTTTCAATGGTGGTATAACATTGACCCATTCATGATATCAATCTAAACTCAACAATCTCCACAATTCTCTACCGATAATTTAAACGTTTTTCCCTGATTTATTTCTTACTGTTTGGTCTCAGAAATGAAAAATAAATTTTTATCATATATTTTTGAATAACAGCTACCAGTGGAACCTAGGATGAGTGTTTCGTCGTATCTTCGACTCATCAACTGAAGGTTTACTCCCTTTATGTTTTTATTGTTCATACTCGAGCTTGACGTCATTAATTATCTCCTCAAATCTCACCGGTATTTTAGCTAAACTACTGGGGTCAGATAATCACTAATGTTTGTAACATGTTAAGTATGCTGATAAAAGCGGATCAACTTCAGTTCTGACTATCAAATACCAGAAAACAAAAGTCGCTTATGTAGGCGCTTGTTATTATAAGATCTTGCCATTTCAGTGCTCATAAAGAAATTTATCCATTTTCGTTTTCCAAGTAAGATGCTATATTCGTATTTCAAAGTAGTGATCAAAGTCTGTGGATCGAGAAGAATATAGCTATTAAAACCAAACTGTGTTTAATATCAAATGGGTTTTGTGGATATTATATAGTAATTTTAATGGTTAAGATCATGAGTCAGTTGAAGCTAGACCACGGTAGTAGTGACCAGTGGAGTTCAACCAGGTCTGTTGTGAGATAGTAATTCACTGAAGACAATGGTGAATATGTCACTTGACTTCGTGGATTAGCTGAAGTTAGACATTCACACCGTTGGATGCCGGCCCAGTGGTCTAGTGGTTAGGTGCTCACGCGCGAAACCAGTGGGTCCTGGGTTCGAATCTCGCAGGAGGCAAGGTCGTGGATGCGCACTGTTGGGGAGTCCCACAATCGAACGGAACGGCCGTCCAGTGTTTCCAGGCTTTCCATGGTGGTTTAGCTTCAACTGACTCATGATCCTAACCATTGAAAGTAAATTGTGTTTCTCAAAGGCCACTCAGTGAATTCCAGGACACCAAACTAAATTTCTCTTCGAACTAATAAAGTCTACTTAGTAATTGTGAATATTAATACTTCAAGTCACAATAACTATCAGGTATGACGGATTAAAAATTCCTACTGATTTCGATACATTTTACTAAATTGGATAAAGAGAATATATTTTGGAAGATATTGAAGAAATGAGTACTTTTTGAATTAACCAAAAACTGTATGAGATAAATTCCTATCATAAACTATCGATTCTACAATTAGTATCGACTTAAATATGTATGCTGAATAATTCTACTACACTTATGATATGATAAAAATAGGTTATATTTAAAACATACTTTACAATGTTACATTTTGGTTAAAACTATTCAAATTTCAACTAAGAAGTCTCCAGTTCGAATCCTATTCCACCAACTATAGTTTAATCGGATACTATTACATTGTTCTTAAAACTCAAAACTAAGTCTATCCGATCAATCATTTACAGTAATTATTCTGCTTATCATATAATTTCTTCATAGAATTATCAATGTTCTTTAAAAAAAAACTAATCCCTTCTATTGTATACTATTGATGTAGTTAGATGTAATGTTGAATTTCTAATAGTTTTTAGTTTAACATAAAATATTGTTATCATGAACGTATTGCGCACAATATACACAGTTACAATTTCAATGAGTTAGATTTTATCCATTTATTATCATTTTGTACAATACAACTTAAAACGTCTCATTGTTATCTCTTTTTATATCATGATTATGTAAATTTGACATTTATGACATGCGCATTAATATATTGTTTTTTTGGTAACGATAACAGTATCAGTATCGTTCTCATATTTACATTAGATATTAAACTAATAACTATTGGAAAGATATTATCATATCTAATATCCCAGGCACTATGTCTAAAATGTTTCCGCCATAATCCCATTTCTGCTCCCCCCCCCTACAAGATTCATAGCTCTACCGAACATATAGTTTATGCTTGTGTTATGTATCAAATTTTCCCGATTTTCTGTGTTATTTTTTAAAATTATTTCACGTTAAATAGTGACTAGATCCATTTTGAATTGTATGTGTTAGTTTGTTTATTTTATATTTATCTTTTAACTTATTCACATCATTTGATGACTTAAATGTTTCTCTAATGTATTCTTCTATTTTCTCTTCTTTCTCCCACTATCCTTTGTATTTTAGCTTGATCGATTCGGAAATTCTCCACTATATTGATTATTTTAAAACACTTACACCACAACTACAAAAATTCGTTGATGATTGTTCTGATATCTGGCCATCATAAATAATATTGACTATCCATTTACAAAATTCCCATACAAGATGTGGTCTGGTAAAAAAAAAAGATAAACCACAAATACGCTCCTGCCTGTCTATATTAGCTAAAAGTATTTATTCACCTTGTGTCTTTCATTATTTATAAATGGATATACTTTATATTTTGTGAATAGATAGTGAGTCTTTCATTATTGCGAATGTTTATACATACAAAGAATAAACTGATTTCTGTGGTCCTATCATTCCAATAGACATATTTAAATAGATCAATTGTGTATGTGTGTGTGTACGTGCGCAAAACGTTTCTCCTTCACTCACTTGTGTATACATTTTGCTCTATTCTCTTTACTTTTATTCTGCTGTTATTATCAGTGTTATTATGTTTCGCTGTTTCTTTCTGTCTTACCTTATTCCCCTCTGTTCATATTCAAGTTTTTTAATGAATAAATTTTCCACATTAAACTTTAATTGCAGTAATATTAATCTCCTTTTTAAATTATTATTATTATTATTATTATTAGTAAAATGGGCTTACACAGTATTCATTTATTATTTATTATTGCTTCTATTGAAGAATATGTTGTATAATTTTTTTGGGGGGGGAGGGTGTCAATTAAATATGTGGACAAACGATGTAGAAGTTTATAAATTTCTGTAATATGTGTTACTAATTAATGAAATTTCTTTTAAATATCAGGTAACTTGTCAATTGAGTTCATAACGTTTTGTTATCCTGTGTTGTTTTCTAAGTCTGTTACTCATGTATATATATAGAGGATTTTCATTCGACAACCGAGTCAATAATATATGCATACTGAATGTACATCCTTCTCGTTTAGAAAGTAGAATCACATTTTCGATCAGTAGCATCTGTTTCTTTCTAGAAAATGAACTCGGATGCTGGCCAATAATGTATACTTATCATATAGTCTGTCTGATTGGTCCGGCTTTTCATTTTTTCTTAGTCTTTAAGGTGCATAGTGCCATCCATGTAAGTATAGATTGAAGTTTATGAGACGACTATCGTATTAAAGTTGTGTAGAATTGAGTTTTGAATGTTCATTCTAATAGTTGAAAATCATGAAATAGTGTGGTGATTTATCTGCTAGTTCACTTCAGCTAAAATTTGACTAAACGTTTATAACTTTACTTTTTTCAGCTTATTGTTGTATAAACAAAAAACACAATGGAGACGAATAAAAAATATTTGTGTTCTTTTTAATTTAGTGTATCAAATATTAATGAAGTTTGGTTCAATGTTATATTTGCTAATTGCATTTTTAAATTGATAATTTAAAAGGATCATTTGCATCTTTGAATTCACGTAATCAATCCATGTTTTTACTATACCTTCTAATTCATTTAATTGCAATTTTAAAAAATCAATGAACTATCCGTACTGAAATCTGCCTAGCGTCTTGCAGAATATGTTAAGCATAGAAATGTAGTGAAAGCACCTGGTAACGTAGACGAAGTTTGAAACAGCACCTCTGGATATTCAGCAGAATAAATCAATCGTAGTAACTTTTCTATGGCACCATTCTCTATCATCCGCTTAGTTTTAGAGTTTACTAAATTTTAGCATTTGATTATCCATTAGATTCAATTGGGTAGTTGACGAAAACTGGATTCTATCAAATATAATTTGTTAGACATTTTCGCTTCCGAAGGTTATGCAGAGAACCATTCTGTGCACAAGTGTTTTTTTTACGTTAAATCCATAGGGAAATTCAAATAAAACACATTGTTTAAAATGAAGAGTAAATTTTTTATTAATTAGGCTAAGCCGGTTGGATAATGGTGTGCTACAGTGGCTCTTATTGAAGGCATTTTGTTATCATCTGCAGTATTTTCAAAAAATTGAAACATAATGTTTTGTAAACTCATCTTGACTATCTGTAAGCGCAATAATGACCGAAATTCAGCATATATATGAACTGTACTTTTGTATAGTGAGGTCATTGACGTAAGTAATGTTTTTCTGGGAAGATATCAGTGATTCATTCCCCCCAAAAATAGTTGGAACTGCAGAAAGAAAATGTCAACCAGCTTCCAAATAAAAGTCATTAGAAAATATAAATGTGAGTAATATGTTGAATACTGCTTCATTATTTCAAAGACAAATAGATCAGGATGAAGTTAAGAGTTATTTTATTTGTGTTTTTAAAAATATATTTACCAGCAATAGTGAATTTAAGAAAATCTGTAAGGAAATATTTAACCTCAAAAATTAAGAGTCTATAAATATAAATTTCTTCTTGACAGCATTATCCTGATGTTAATGTGAAAATCCTCAATGAATCACATTAGCCTTCACTCATTGATTTTAAAATTGATCATCAAAATTCAATGTAAAATATTCATAGTTCATTTTCTGTGATCTTGATGATTTCTCAAAATAACCATTGGGTAAGCACATGAAGAATCAGTTTGTTTAGCATAGATTTTTCTTAGAATCGAACAATCGAATCATTCAGCACCTAGCTATAAATCATGGATTAAAATCCAAGAAACTGTGCTGATTTAAAATTTTTAATATGTTGTTCAACTTATCTTCACTCTATCTGAACATTCGTAACACACACACACACTATTTGTACTACTTGATCAAAAGGTGACTTTACCTCTGGTTACCATCTCTCATTAGAAGTTATCCTCAAAGAATTTTGTTGTTGTTGTTTGAGTGAAGTTTATGATCTAAATGTTTATCAGTAACAATCATATAAAGTGATTTTACTTTGATAATTTCACATGTAAATAAATTGAGTTTATATTTATCATCTTGTGTTAGACTATTTGATTGTATGTTAAATCTCTTTTTCTACAATAAAATAAACTTTTTTTTCTTTATTTTATAGTTATTGTTATACAAATTGAAATCATATTTATACAAGATTATACATATGAAAATTCAATAAAAATTATATATTAAAATCAAACTGATAAGTAATTGAATTTGAATGATAATAATTTGTACTAATTTCATTGTTTCTATGTTATATAAACATGGTAACAAGAGTAAATATGAATGTTAAAAATTTATTTCATTGTATAAGATTTACATATGTGGTCATACTGTTGAAGTAATATCAAAAGTATGAAATCATGTATGTAATAGATTGAATAAAATGTAAATTGAAAGGATACTTCACTTATACAAATACACACAGAGACAGGGATAATGCGAGGATAGAATTATAATGCATCATAGTTGTATTTAATAACTGAACATTAAAACTAAAAAATCATCACAGTTGGTAAGGATACAGATAATTAATTTTAAAATGATGGCATTGATCCGAATAACAAATAAGCAAAAGAGTATTCAATATTAAATTCTTTATCATGTATCAATATTTTATTTATAATGAAAGAACTTTTCTAGAAGGAAAATAAATAAATAAAAATATTTATAAAGTGCTCAATTGTGAACATTCAGTTTCATTTTCATTTATAGGAATTTTACCTCGTGTCCGACGTGGACAACATCCAGTACTAGTTAATCGAAATGAATAAGCTGAACTTGGCAAATTATCTAATCGGCTAGCCATTGGATATAAGAAAAATGGATAAACAATTAAACCAAATAGAACTGATAATCCCACTTCTATATAAAATCCATCTAATTGTGTAACACATGTTCCATGAATAGTTTCACAGGCCTAAAGAAGAAAATTAACACAAGACTAATAAATATTGTTTTATCTGTTACAAATTTTACACTTAAACAAACGATTGTTTTAACCGAGTCGACACACTATGAAAAAATCAGTTAGATAAATAGTTTCGACGAATGGGCTTCATGATCTTCCATTAATTCAGTTTGACCTAGTAAACATTTCAACATTTATCCACGTTTCTAGTTGACAAATTTAAAACTTGTCGTGTACAAGCTGTACGTATAACTAACAAAAATAGAAAGAACCGCTGTGATGGAAAATGGTTTTCCTCCCGAAAATGAGAACTTAACTAAGATATTCTTCATGAACATTAGGTTCAAAGATGATATGTCAGTAGAGATCATGAAAAGCCGATTGTTGAGATCTTTAAGAAAGACATACTCAGACGAGCTACAAAGTGCTTTTCATAAAAACCTGATCCGAAGGTATAGCAAGGATTAACTAGGAGTTTATGTTACCTCATTATGAATCTATCAGTTGACTTTCTCTTATTAACTAGGTTATAGTGGTTGCTTTCTCTTTGCAATGGCATACTCAAACATTATGTTATATAGCTATCTAGTAATTATTTACAAAGTCAAGCAAACTGGCTTGGAGAGAGCCTGTGTTAGAAACCTGTGCATAACAATGGCTTAAGAAATCATTAAGTCAATTTTCTCTTTATTCAGAGGCAACAAGCCAAATAACTTATTTCCCTCTGCATTTAATTCTGCTTTAAATGCCATAGCTTTTCATCACTAAGCTTTTGTTTCTCCATTGTATTCGTTATGTGGACAAGTATATTTTATAGCTCGTCATACAATAACTCCACATGATTGTATCTCGTTACCTTTGAGCTATCACGTAACTTCCACTCAATAGTGGGAAGTTTTCCTAACATTTTGATAGCTTTGTTAATGACCTTAATATTAGTATTATTCGTAACTAAGGCTAAATAAAGTAGTTATATTCAATAAAATTATTTAATACATGGAGAACACAGTTCAACTATCTGAGTACTCGGTATGAGGGTTTGCGGAAATTTGAGTGTTATTGATATCACAAACCGACTTAAGTTGGATAACTACTTAAAGCCAGGAAGTATTAGACAGCCTTTTAGTTGTAGTATCGGACATCTAATCTGTGCACATCCACGACTTCACCACAGTGGACTGAACTCAGAACTTTTTGTAGGATGTGCGAGCACTCAACCTTTAAACCACTGAGCCGGCTACCAACTGGTTATATGTTTAACTTCATGTTCCCAAAAATCTTCAGCAACCTTCACAACCTCTATACTGAAAATTATTGATTACCTCTTGCTAACTAATCATTCTGGTAAAATGATCTTCATAAACAATTACTATTCGATGTTCTAATATATTTTATGATTAGTTTATTATGAAAGGCAACTTAAAAAACAGAACAGAATTCTTTATTTATTATAGAATTATTCAAATTAATTTATAACTTAAATAAAAATGACTTCTTTTTGAATCATAAAACACACTTACTTTAATTCCATGGGGTAGTTTACATGTTGCATTATATTGTTGGACTAATTTATCTTTATCAAAAAATAAATAACTATTGTTATAATTATCATTATTGGTTGTGTTATTCAATAATGAATTATTTGAATTGATACTTTGAATAATTGTTTGGTTGAATTCTTTCAAAATACATGCACGTTTAGTTAACGGTTCGATTAACGAAAGGAAAGCAGTACTGGGCAAACTACCAGCTTTAAAGGTAAAATTAAAAAGCAGATATATATATATAGTGGTAATGATGTGAAAGTCTTTTTTTATTCTTGAAACTAATTTCTGAAATACCATTTAGAATCAAACAGTAATATACATCAGTCGATTTTCATAAGGGTTTTATCAGTGGTATGTGTATATATACTTTAGCATGTAAATTTTAATTAAAACTGGTCTGACTATACCATAAGATCACTAGATCGTTTACCCATTTGATTGAGCCCATAAAGAAAAAAACCTTTTGTATACAGAATGAAAAACAGCTTTAATGTCATTTGTAGAATTTACCAGCTTAAACTGAAAGAGTATGATTTTTTTAGATGTAGAGTTTTCATTTAGTAATTTCCCGCTAAAAGTGATTATCAATACCGTTTGCGATCAATCTGATAGAATGCACTCTCGAAAGAGCCTAAAAGATCTGTATCTGTTATGCTCAGATAATGTGTGTATTTTCAACAAACAACGTTTAACTATACTCAGTCCCCAAGACCTTATTTTCGCTTGGATTTTTTCTAGCGCAACTAGAAAACATCATACTAAAGGAAATGATAAACAAACGTCACATATGTTGATTATACCTTCATCATATATGTTAATAGAGACCAATCGGATCTATTATTTAGATTTTTCAATGCGACTTAATCAAATTTAAGGTAAAGTACAAAGAGGAATGAGTTTCGTACATTTATCGATAACAAAAATGGACGACGGTTGGATCTCATGTTCCGTAATAAATCTGGTTACCTTCAACTTGATCTATTTATTTATCTGTTTATGCACCGACAATTACTTTCGAAGAACAGCGAGCATGTTTGAAAGAATCCCTGAACATTTACCTAGGAACTAGGTGTTCGATTGCCAGGGAAGTCCTACTTACTGCCTCCTCGTGGCGGGGGTGTTGTTTACTAAATTGAGAGGACGAAAAGCGAATGTCCGGCGCTTTAGCCGGATTCCAAAGCAATGGTGCACATGAGCTCCAGTATCCTGCGGGAACAAATGGCGTATGAACCAATCGTTGGTCACCGGCTACCATGGGACTGCATCTCCTCTCGATGCTCCACTGACTTGTGGGTCAGACCTTTAGGTCAATGGCTCGGGTGTGGCCCCCTAAGATAACCACCTGCTTCGGTTTGGGCACCCGGGCAGTATTACAGCCCTCACACAAATCGAATAATTTATGTGGCGCATATGTATTTGGTGCCTTCTTGTACCAATGTTTATGTGTTTAAATAATAAAATAATAATAATAATTCGATTGCCACAAACTACTCGACAATGCCATGGGAAGAAATATTATACATTTTATTTCTTTTCCAGTGGTAAACAGAATAAGAACAAATTTCTACGTTCTGCAGAAGTAGTTGCTATTTCAACCCCAACTTATACGTTAAAAAAAACATATGTTTAATTTGGAACTGCCCTGGTAATCAACTCACTACCCTTTCTTTTTTATTCTCTCGGTTATATTGATTTGACCTCATCTATATTTAACCATAATAATACTTTTATTATTTATTTTAGTCAATTTTTTGTTTTTAACTTGTTATTGTCACCGGTCTTATTATTTGAAGACAATTCAATAAAATGTTTGACCTTTTTTAAACATCCAACCACTCCTGTTTTCGTCTACCTTCTGCAAATATTATTTCCATCATTAGTATTATTATCATCACTATTATGATCATTTCACAATCCGTTTTCGGTTATTACTATCAGTTTCGTCATTTTTATCTACAGAAATCATAACAGTTTATGTATGCTTTTGCACTCGATTACGTCATAGTCCCCCACTCAATATGTTCATGAGTACAGAAATTATATAAAGTCACTGTGCACGAACATACCAGATGACTTTATATATGCTACACACTGAAGTATATTTGTGAAAACATTTTATTGAATTCTATGATTCAATGCACATGAGGAAAATATAAAGCACAAGAAATAGAATGTTTATTGTTCTTGATTTACGTAAGTTAATCCAAACTTTCATAAGTATGTGAATTTATAAGAATCATAATGGATAGCAGTTATTGATAATCTAAAAAAAACTGCGTGACAGGTCATATCTTTGTGTTACTTAGAATCGGAAACACCCATTTACTGGATTACAATCTCATTGCTCATATACCAAATGTTTGTTGGGAAAAACTTTTGTTATGATTTTCTCCATATTAAAGGTGTACATTTTTGAAATACCAAAATACAGAAGAATATCAAAGTCTCAGTGGTATTTCTAATAACATCCTAAATGAAATAAACAATTAGGTAAATAATTATGTCAAATCATTAAGCTGGTTAGTAGTCTAGATAAACGTAGTGAAACCAAACAGTTAGTATTTATCTCAATCACTAGTAAACATTCTCAGATTCATAAATAATCTATCACTTCATTTAAGTGATGTAATTAGAACTCAGAGAAATGAAGTGTGCTTTTCTCGAAAATATCGAATGATTTATATTAGTAAGTTAATGGATTATACATTGATTTTCATAAGAGTATATATATAAAACATTGACAACAGGAACTTTCAAACCTTTACAAATTAAATACAACCCATATCCATTGTACAAGCACATGACTATCTGAACTCTAGCTATGTGAATAACACGTTAAGGCTTTGAAGTAAAAAGTAATGGGTCCGAGTCTCTATGTAAACATCAACACTGTGGTACAGGAAGATATAAGTGACGGGTTCCAAATAAGACGAAACTCACTTATTAAATCCCACTACTTTCCATAATCCATCTCAATTTAAAAATGTTGGTGAATAGATGAAAATAACGATGCGACCCACTCAGGATGCACAATATGAAAAGTGACTAACCGATTCCAGTTCTTAAGATCAACAGCGATAAGATTTAAACCTTTCTACATAAAACCAAATGATGCATATTTTCAGTGTGTTTTGGCCTTATTCTCGTTTTGATTATTATTTTGTGCTTTGTTTTAAAGCTGTAATCTGTTATTATTGTCTTCGATGATTATTATGAAATTTACTTCATGTTTTTTTCTATTATCTGTTAATTGGGCGCTTATATCTCACCTTTCTTATTCATAAATTATTCTCCTATTCTTCTATAACCTCTCGATTAATGTGTGACCTCGTTTTAATATTTAAAACTTCGGGTTACCTTATTATGTAATCTCTTTTTATCCTCCTATAGACTGATATATTGATCAAATAACTATAAATACGAATGTATAGTTTAAGTAAAAGATTCTATTCAACAACATAATGGGTTATTTTAATTAGTTAACATATATGTAATGAATTTTACATGTGTACTTGAAATTCAGATTTAATATCAACTTGGTGAAGCTCAAATTTACAGACTAGTTTTCTACTTTATTTGTTAATCAATCGATAGAATAAAATTCATTTAAGGAATTAAAATCAATTAGGATACTTACAATATATTAATTGCTTAGATGAAAACTAATAACAGATAAATGTAAATCAGAGAAGAGTTTTTGTGGATATTATAGGATTATCAGTATAGGGTTGTGGAGATTATTCAGTTTTTGATTAACATCATGAACTGATTAATGTTAGACCACCTTTGAAAACAGTTGGATGACGGTTCAATGGTTTAGAGGTTAAGATCCAGGTTTTCAATGGTGGTCTAACATCAATCAGTTCATGATCTCAATCAAAAACTTAATAATCTCTACAACCCTATACTGATAATTACTATGTACTCACCAGTGACTAGCTTGGTGTGAGAAGTTTCTGAGTTATAGTGGGAAGCCGTGACCAGTGGAGCTAATCTGTGTCAGATAGAGACAGGTATCTACCTCAGTACAATGGAAGATGGTCACGCAATTTCATGTATTGGTCGAGGTTAAACATTAACACCGTTAGATGACAGCTCAGTGGTCTAAAGGTTAAATGTTCGTGAGCGAGACAGAACGCCCTGGATTCGAATCTCGCGAGCGGGATCATGGATGCGCACTGTTGAGGAGTCCCCTAATAGGACGAAACGGCCGTCTAGAGCTCCCAGGTTCTCAATGATGGTCTAAAATCAACTGATTCATGATACCAATCAAAAGATATTATAGTAATTTAGTAGTTGGATTAGTGAGTCAATTGAAGCTATACCTCCATGGAAAACCTGGAAGCACTGGACGGTTGTTTCGAGTGAGACTATAATTCATAGACGACTTTTGGGCAACGGTGAAGTGACCTTGTGTCGACCTAATAACTAGGACCAAATGGAGATTATAAACCAGTGTGAGGAAATAGAATTATGATTTTACAGTTGAACGTTAAGGTTAGGAATCAGATTGACGATTTTCATCACGAACTAAAATCAGCTATAATGCCAAAACGTTATTTAGACAAATGTATGGATGAATTTCGCGCTAAAATCACCGTTCTGTTATCTGATTGCGTCGTCTATAAATTACAGTCTCGCCAAAAAATGTTTTTCCTTTCTATTGAGCAAAATTTATATTTGTAATCATAATGGTTCATTTCATAAATAATTATTTGCCCTGTTATAATTTAAACGTTGAATTTTCTTTTCACAAACAGCCTAGACAATGTTATTGTATAGAAAACATGGTAACATTTACTGAAGAATAATGAAACAATCTATTCTATGCAAATATTATCCAATTAATTTGCTGTAACAAAATTGTTTCATATTAGATTTATGATTATTTAAGTGAGTTATTGTTTTATTGTTTGTTGAAAACAAATCTCTAGACACTAGAATTTTGTGAAATAGTATAAAATGATTGGATAGAAAATCAAAGATGTATAGTATTACATACACATACATATATATGAGTATCTGTTGATGGAGATATTATTATTATTTTACAGGTATCAATACCATGTTTGGACTCAATGAGTGGGAAAACTGTATCTCCAACGTCTTGTGACATAATATAAACTACTTCTACAGAGTAAATATTTATTATTTATTGACTCTGAAGAAGTGGCTTACATTAAGTCACGAAATTCCAAAATACGATTTTTCTACTCATTGCGATATAACAGTCAGTCAGTAACAACGTAGAACTTTGTACGCACGTACATCAGTTCAAGTTGCCACACCACATTAGCACACAGATGCAGTTGTCGATTTAAATCTCGTAGTGCTAGATGTAGTAAAATTATAAGCTGTAATCAGAAAAATTGGGGTTTGAAGATGTTATTCAAGGAGTATAATCCAGTGAAATAAATTTGGAAAGAGTAAAAGAAAGGGACATGAAGAATTCAGAAGATTAGAATTTGGGAGAACACAGAGTGAATGCACCTGCGCCATTGCAAACGATTTTGAGCCATGTCATTCAAGGTCTCTAACTGTCGGTTGCTATCATCTCGCAGATCCCAACCAGGTAGTCTACACCTACCACTTGTCAGTGACTTCATGGACTTGTGCCATGGTTTGGTCTGGCCGCCCCTAGCTTTCTTTCAATCTACTCCTACACCATAAAACATCGCACTTCGGGGCAGTCTGTGGTTGGGCATACGTAACATGTGTTATCATTGTTTTTAAAGCATTTAAACTATCGGGATTGCCAGTGATTACTTAGAAATTTATTTGAATAAAACAAGAAAATACAATACTAAGTGATATGAGTGTGTATGAGACGGTATATGTTTTCACAAAGGTGTCATTTTAATGAAAACGAAAAAAAATTGGAAAACTTTCCAAGTCAAGATGTTTTCCAACTGTTTTCAATAAGTTAAAATAATTTATTCACACTGTCGAGTCTCAGTTTCAAAAAGGAGCAATCAAATTGTAGAATGAAAGGTTAATTGTTTACATTTCTGAAAAAAGGTCATATGTTTAAGTCAAAGTACTATGAAAGTGATTTGTAGTACGTTCAAGTAGATGATTAACATTCGTAAAATACTATTTAGTGATAAATAAGTCATACTACCCCAGTACTATTTGATTTGCATTATTCATCTCCCATAAAAAATAACTTGCTAATAATTGAAAAGAAGTTAAGTTTGGAATTTACATTTGTAAACATCTCAGCGCTTGAACCCTTAGTTAATTCAACTTTTTGCTCGGCAATCTGGTCCAAGCTTTTTCAACGTAATATAATACATGGTTTACTGACTAACTGTACACCAAACAATTCGTTCAATTATATTAACAATCTTCAAAGTAAGATTTGTATTAATGTGTATAAGTGGAGAAATTATGATAAGATAACAGTTGTACATACGTGTACGCATATATCTGATGAGAGGGGAATTCATCGGTCATATATCGCCTGTGATTAGGAATTTTGTTGGATGGAGAATGTTGGTGAGCGGCCTATGCTCCTTCACGGGGAGTAACAGGCGTAAGTAAGTAAGTAAGATTAGGAATTTGATGAAAATAGACAATTTGTTGCTGTATGCATAAAACGACGATAAATAAACAGACGTTTGTGTTTTTTGTGTTGACGAAACTGATTATTTATCACTTAGTCAGGGAAACTAACTGGTTAGAACAAGTGACAGTAATCATTGTTGTTCACATAATAAGAGATAAGTTAAATGAAGGAAAATGTATTTATTAGTTGCTACGACATATTTAATTGTATTCCATCTCTTCTATTAATACTATTTGAATTCGTCCATGTGTGCAGCGCTTCAGCTATTGATCTCTGTTTGTATGATACTAAATTATTTACAAGGATTATGTTTCATTGCAAAAGCTTAGGTCAGATTGCCAAACGAAAAGTTAGATTTCCTTAAAGTTCAATGGCTGAGATTTTTAGAAATATAATTTCCCTCCATAATGTTTTACATCATTCAGAACCTAACTTCTGTCGAATTTTTCTTTAAAATTTTGACGAAAATTCTTCTAAACTGTAAGAAAAGCTATCGGGACCATTATGATGCATAAAACTGTTCTGCCTAGTTAAACATGATACAAAGTATGATATAATAAAAATACAGATCAAACTTTATAACAATAATAATATATTAAACAGGATAACATAACAAACATTACCTACCGATATTAGATACTGTATTCAACAAAGTCATATATGTTCCACCAACAGCTGGATCACTAATTTTAGCATGAAATGCTACCTGTACAACCATCATTATGCTTGATATAATTGAGTAAACAAATAATTTACTTAATAAAAGTATATAGAATAACCAAGTAAATGAATATGTCATATCTTTAACTGTATTTGCTGTATAATTTTCTGTTGAATTAGTTGTATCAGTGATATTATTTAAATCACTTCTGTTTAGCTGAATAAATTGAATTTGAGTTTGATTAGGCTGAATAATTCTAAAGTATGGTGTATAATAAACAATAGGAATCGTTAACGAGGTCACCAATAATCTGAAAGTAAATATTAAGAGAAAAAACATTACAATTAATGTAATTTTTATTTTGATCTTCTCATTTTTCAAGTCATAAGAGTAAATTAATGGTGTAGGGGAGGGGGTTGTGGAGGCTGTAGAATTCAGCAGTTGGAAACCTTGAGGGAAAGTGAACGGTCATTTCGTCCCAGCATGGGACTCATTAGATGTGCTCATTCACTATTCAGTCGCATGAGGTTGAACTCAGTACCTTCGGTTTCGCACAGAAACGTTTAATCTCCAGATTAATGGACCACTATCCACTGGTGTATATGTTTAATTTCAAACAACTCTCAATATTAGGCAATCTTCATCCATTGCCTGCACTATCACACACCGGACGCGCTCTTGATTCCCGGATGAGGTTTACGGATGAACAGTTCCGAGGGACCGCACACTAGAACGAAATGGCCGTCTAATGCTTCCGGTTTCTCAATGGTGCTCTAGATAAAGTTAGTTTATGATTAAAACTATGGAAACAGTTTAATGTTTCGTTGTTCTTCAGATTTAAGTACAAATCAGCTTCAATATTGTGGTGATGAAAAGAGAAAAAAATTACTTGTTTAAGTGGTAAAATTAACTTTCAGAATCTTCAAGACCATATGTGCATATATAGTACACAACAGTTGATAATATATATTTGAATTATCTGCCTAAAAACTCCATATGGAGCCCCTCTTGGGCTACTGCCGTTCCTAAGCCCGAATAGAGGAAATGGGTTGGGCATGGGGTTAGCGACCCCATCCCGTAGAAAACTAACTCGCTAAAAAACGCTAACCAGAAAAAATAATTCAAACCATCTAAACTCTGCTCTGGGAGTTAGAATGTCTTCATTTAAAAGAATTATTTCGTCTCAAGGTGAAAGCTAAGTTCCTTCGGAAATCATGAGGTTGACGCCACTTCTGACAACCAGAGCAACCATTAATTTAGGTACATGGAATGCTCGTACAATATGGGAGACCGGGATAGTCTTCCAAATTGTTGCAGAAACGAAGAGATACAACCTGAAGGTGATTGAAACCAGTGAAACAAATTGGACGCATGTTGGACAACAACGACTATCTTCAAGGGAACGTCTTTTGGAACTTCGGATCCGTTGGCCAACAACAACCAACTGTGGAGGTGAACAAACCAGATCCCAGCGGAAGAAGAGATCACGAAGAAGCGCATCGAGGAAAGCACCCAACTGCGTCACAAGGCAAGCCCTCACATGGAATCCTCAAGGCCAAAAGATGAGAGGAAGATCAAAGGGCACATTAAGCCGAGAAATGGAGACAGACATGAAAAGTATGGACGGAAATCGAATAGAACTAGAAAGGAAGGCCCAAAAAAGAGTGGGTTGGGGAATGCTGGTCGGCGGCCTATGCTCCATCGGGAGTAACAGAAGTAAGTAAGTAATGTACCTGAAAGTCGGTAAATAACATGAGCTCAAATGCTAAAATAAACGACAAGAGTAAAGAATCAATAAGTCATTGAACAGTACTTATAAAGATTCACTCTTTTGAAATATTTTTATTTCTCAAGCATGAAGCTACTTTTGACTTATGATATTCGAATCCTTGTTCAGGAGTTAAGGCTAATTGTTCAGAATCCATTGAATCAACACGAAGTGACTTGTTGAAAGCCAAACAATGAGTGTACTCTCAGAATCTATAGCTATCTATAAGTTTGTTATTTTGAAAAGTCTAATCTATATACACTTCAATATTTATGGTCGCAAAATGAAAATCCATAGACTTTCATTTCAAACACCTTATACGTTATTCACTTAGGTATCTAGTTCAGATAACCACGGGGTTTATGTAATGTTGAATTTCAATATGAGAGCTTCAAATCTCAATTAAATTCATCGAGAATTATAAGTTTATTGTTTAAAGGTCTGTGTATATGATAATTAAAGCTATCATGTATAGTTATAGCTCCTTTTTCATTCAACAAGTGAATGTTTAAAGATGATAATGAAGGTTACGAAGTGATCAGTAGTTATTCACTTCTGTCAGTTGTAACACATACTCTTTGCTAATTAAAACTTAAAGGTTATTATTATTATTATTATTATTATTATTATTATTATTATTATTATTATTATTATTATTATTAGCTTTATTCAATATTATATTATTGGTACAATATAGAATTCTCAGCACAAAGTATTTCAACAAGTTTCCGTTTCTTTCTTCTTGGTCGGTCCTCGCGATAAATACTGAGTGATCGCCAGCTAGATGTTAACAGTCCAGTAAATGAATATCTGAATAATGTACATTCTTTTCGTTGTATATTGCCAGCAACAATATTCTCTCTTTTTGAGCTTTTTGTAACTTTGACAACGAAAGGTTGTACACTTTTCAGAAACGCAGCAGAATAGGTTGTGCGATTAATAGACATAATGATATATTAAAACAAACAAAGATAGATAACTTGTCGAAATATCTAGATGGCAGGAACAGGTAGCCCAGATGCTCAAGCAGGCCGCCTTCTTTTTTTTTCAAAATCGAAACAATATTAGATTATCGACAAATAGTCAAAATGTTAGAAAGTAAATATACTGTTTAAGCATTCATAAATAGATAAATAGTTGTAGTTTTAACTACCACCTAATTAATTCAGGAAAATTATAAATGAATGGATGTATATCTAAGTAACTATTCTATCTTATTATGCTCCAGTAAATTTATTCCCTAAGATTGAACATAAATAAAATAATTATTTCAGTGTGTATATAATGAATTATGTAAGTATAAACAGATTCCATATTTAGACCTCATTAGTTAACAAACCAATATTCCATTGAGTTTAAATATGCAATTTATCAAAAATCAAACAAATATATTCACCTTGGTAAGAAAGCAATTATGAATACTCCTAATGGTCTTGGCCCATTAGTCCAACGTGTAATTAATAATGGCAATATAGCTTGTATTGGCATTAGCAGAACACCAAAAAGTGCTAAACGTTCTTTTGGAAATCCATGTTCAATTAGTTTTAAACTGAAAATTGTTTCTGGAGCAGCAAGACAAACCTTTTTGAAAACAGAATAATAGAGAAAAAGATGAAGGAATATAATTCAAATTAGAAATATGAAAACTAATGAATGTCATTTATTTAACGAGTATAGTAAAGCGTCACAATTATGGAGACCTATACCTTTCAATGTTGTTATAAACATCAAATCTCAATAGAGTCCAACTTCAAAATACCCATAAGTTTATGAACAACATCTACGAGGTCACATTTACAAGAGAAAAAGAGTTAACGAACAAAGTCCTATCCTAGGGTATTTTAATCATCAAAGCAAACACAGGAACATTGGAGAAAGATAAAAGCTAAGAACAAGGCTACAAAAACCGAATATTAAAATATATTAGTAACAACCCAACATTGAATTAAAGGAATTGTGTACAAAACTGTTCAGACGAACCAAAACTCACTACAGAAACTTCACTATACAAAAATTGAAAAAGCCGATTTCCTATTCACACTCATTAAGAGTGGCTGTCCTGTCTGACAAGTCAATATATCAGCACAAAATCATCCCTAAGGACCAGAGGAAAGCCATCTTATCATGAGTGGCAAACGTTCAGGAAATCACACGAGGTTATTAAGTTAACGTCTCTTACTGGAATTGTGATACGTGAAATTATGAAAATGATTTGAATAGGATCATGATCAGAAAGAATGTATTCAAATAAGTTAATAATATATATTAAATACAAATAATACAACTGAGAACCTAAGCCTTTAAAAAGTATTTTATTAATATGCAAAGCAATAAGTTTCTATCGATATGCTGAAATCGTTAACAGTAGGATAAACATTACAATTTTTTTTATTTAGATTGATATCATGAATGAATAAATGTTAGATCACTATTGAAAACCTGAAAGCACCGGACCACCGTTTCGTCCTAAAATGGGACTACTCAACAGTGCGCATCTATGGTCCGACACGAAAAAGGCTCGAGCCCAGGACCTTCGATCTCGTGCGCGAACACTTAAACTCTAGACCACTGAGCCAGCATCCAACAATGTTAATGTCTAACTTCCACTAATCCACGATATTGCGCGACCGTCCATCACTGTCTTCAGTGAATAACTGACTTACACTCGACACAATTAAACTTCATTGGTCACCACACACGAGACCGAAAGTCCTGTATTCGAATCCCATATGTAAGATTGTGGATACTCACTGTTGAGGAATCCCATACTTGGATGAAACAATCATCCAATGCAAGTGTCAATACCAAGGTTTGATTTGATGATTTAGAATAAATTGAGCATTGGGTTGATTGTTATAAATAAAAATAATATATTTGTAATATCCCAATGAGTAGAAAATTAGATTTTATGACGTTTCGTGACTTAGTGTAAGTCACTTCTTCAGAGAATAAATAACCAAATTAAAACTAATCCAAGTTTAAATAGTACAACGGAACAATCCAAGAATAATATTGGATCAATCAAAAACAGGTCTGAACAAGTTGATGTCTTGTCATTTCTGTCATGGTGTATGTATGTGTGCATTGTTTAAGAATGAAAACTTGTGTGACCTTTATGGTAAGAAAGGATAGAGTTTAAATTTGTAATATGCTTCTGGGTTTTCAATGGTGGACTAACATTGATCCATTCATGGTACCAATGTAAACTCAACAATCTCCACATCCCTATACTGATAATTTTTACATTGCTAAGATACTTACGTGCTTAACATGTATTTATTTATCAAAGAATCAGATTTAAAGAAAAAGTTAATTTCAGTGAGACATTTTGTGGATATTATAGTAATTCAATAGTTGGGTTCGAATCCCGCAGGGCAGGGTCATGGATCCGCACTACTGGGGAGTCGCACAATAGGACGAAACAGCCATCCAATGTTTCCAGGTTTTCCATGGTGATCTAGCTTCAATTAATTCATAATCTCAACTATTTGAAATAATTAATTGTTTATATCAATAAAAGAATTTATCATTTAATCTAGTCAGTTCCATATTTAATTTCAATCTACATGTAAAATTATATCTTAATTCATGAAATATTAATTAATCACTTTCCTATATTGACTAAAATAATTTTATGCTTTGAAATTATTATGATGATACATTTACTTAATAATTTCTAACACTTAACAGATTTATTTTACATAATTATTCTATTTTACAAGTATTACAATATTATTTTGAGCTGTATTTTAGTTGCCACAGTTACGGGACATTGATAATACAATATGATATAGATGTATATAATGACGTAAACAATTTACACAGTCAATCTTATTTTAATGAAATAAATACCTTTGACTTATAAATTCTTAAAGTGTAATATAATACAACATTATGGTAGAATGTTATTAGTTATGCTTTATAAGTTAAATATCATAAATCTTAACAAGTAGTATATATATATATATATGCTTATTAAAATGGATCATCAATATGTATTTGGAAAATTGATGAAGTCACATCACTTATCAACATTATGTTGTGAATAGTTACATATTCTGGTAAATATTAGCCTTCCTTTATGGGTATATATATATATATATATGTCTTGGTGATTAAAGAGGTCTTTCAAAGTTTCCATAGATTTTGAATCATATATAATAAAATGTATAAACTGTTTTATCATGGACTTTTATCAACAGTTTTAATGATTTGAAAGTGTTTGATGTTTATGGTATCATAAGTAATTATTGTTCAATGATTTTCATCATTGCTTTATTGATATCACTTAATGATGATAAAATGAAATTAGGATCAAACAACCGACAAAAACCACCCACATGAACAAAGTTGAAAATAAATTATGAGAAGTTTCAACGATAAGTTTTGAATAATAAATTTAAATTATTATTGAATGTATCATGAGTATTACAGGAGAATTCGAAACTAGAACAAGATAGCTATCTAGTGCCTTCTGATAGTTTTCAGTGTTTATTTAGTTAATATTAATTCTTAACAAACATCAACTTGAATTCAAACTTATTTCTCACATGTCATCCAATTAAATATGACTGTTTTGTTAAATGGTTAATATGTTTAAAATTTATTATTTGGCAGGTTAACATTCTTCTTGAAAATCGTGTACTAATTAACAATTTGACAATCCCAGTTACCATAAATGTAATAAGCATGTAAATACACTCGTGAGCGAGCACTTAACCCCTAGACCACTAAGCCGGCATCCAACGGTGTTAATGTCTAACTTTAACTAGCCTACGAAATCGAGTTACACATACACCATTGTCTTCAATGAGTTACTATCTAACAATAGACCCAGTTGAACACCACTGACTGTGACTTGATACTTTACTTTAAATCATTCTGACCTTTATTGGATTACCTTACTGATTTACAAATAACACAATTTTGAAGCATTTATGTCGTAATAGTTACGTTCACCATTTTCGACATTTAATGTTATCCAATTCATTAATGCATGCCTTATTTTGGTCTTCGTATAATATCACAATAATTATGGACTTATAACTGTAGAGCCTGATAATGAAGTTATTCAAAACAAGGAAGGCACTATCGAAGCAATACATATATTATGCACATATACATATAAGAGACTGATCAGTTACAGTCTTAAACATCAATAGGAAGATTCATGCAAACCATACCAAGTGAATTTAAACTTCACCCCATTGCATAAGCAAGTGGCTATCACGACTCAATAGTCAAGTGGATAACGCGATGGCGTTTGAAGCGAACGGTACTGAGTTCGAGCCCCAGAATGAACATCAACTCTGAGATTTAGGTACATCCGGCTGACGAATCCTAATTAGAACGAAACGCGCATCTTGGATTTCATTGCTAGCCACTATCTATCTTTCCTTAGAATGATTGTAAACAATTGTTCACTCAAATATTCTTCATCATTGAAATATATGACTTCAAATCAATGAAAATCTCTGCTTTAATTCAGAGTTATAAGATTATTTTCAATTTTCTAGTCATAGTGACAATAATATTCAGGTTACTAACTTTAAATTTTTATTTCTAATTATTTACTGAAACAACGATTTCTTTCTTTAAACCTGAAAATGTTTTATTAAAACTCAAAGATACTTCTTCTTTGACAAACATATTAAATACACAGTGTTTTTAGCTTCTAATTAATCATGTTTAGGAAGGTACATTGTTATAATTTTATAGACTATCAAATTTTTAAAGTCAGATTCCGGATAACAAAGTTCATCTGTCTGTGAAACATATTACATTAGACTTTTTGTATACATTGTGCTTTGACAATATTCTAGATTAGATTTTATGAAGATGATAAAATAAAAAGCTCAATAGTCTAATATGTCTGTTTTATACATGACTAATTCAAGTATTATGATTTATTTATTGACTATAAAGCAGATATGTATATACAATTTTGCAATTTCAAGCATGAACTCAACTTTGGAATTAACTTTCGTTTTTGATCTAAGATACTGAATTTGAACTGTCTATATTTTGTGAAGATCTATAATAAATATTGATTTGTATGTAAGGTAGTTGAAACTAATCGATAGGAAACACTGGACATAGGTTTCATACTATTTCAGACTTGCCAATGTTGTGGTAACTAGTACTCGCTAGAGGACTCGATCTCATGTCACCCAGGTTAACAGTCTGAGATGTTACCTCTGAGCTATTTGAGCAGCAACTGACATCTTTTGTCTGACTGGGACGTTGAAAATTGACTGATCAATGAGTGGTGGTCAGTGTTAATGGTTCATGGTTTTTTGATAACTAATTATAATCACCTAACATCTCAACATAGTGCACACAATGTCACGTCAATCACATTAGTGGCTGCTTTGCAAAATAATCAGTAGAATTCGATTGCTATCAGAGGACCAGATAAACGTAACATTGGTCATTATTCAGTGATCAATCAATCGTATTGAGTTATATATTATGGAAATTTAAAAACGAACGAGATTTACTATATGAGTCTAGTTATTTAAATTATTAGCACCAAATAAAACCTAACTGCGTATTCAAAATATGATGAAAACTGGTTCTTTTCAAATGAAAAATCTTTCAAAATTATCAAGGTACGAGTGAGTCTTGAAAACGCAAACCATTAGTATTATCCTGCAAAAGTTTAAATCTTCTAGTTGTTAACGTTGGCGACTGCAATTGATTAGTCTCTTTCTGCACATGTCAATTCCGAGTGAATTGTCTCGACATTGCCATCAGTCACAAGCATTTTTAGGTAGAGATGAATTGTGACTAACATTGGAATTCCGAATGTGACCTGTCCTACTCGGGTCTAATAAGCTGGATTATCAATAAATATTTTTAAGCAAAAATATTCATAGAGTTATAACCGGTACATTATTTTGCTGTATATTAGCTGACAGATGTTTTTAAGTCAATTTAAATGGTAAGCACCATACATATATTTGAATCACTTGTCAAAATACTTTGAGGACAATTCCTTCATACTCATTAAGTTCAGTAAAGTGAATTATCTGAATGCTCCGCCCTAGTAAATATCATTTTACATTAAAGCGTAATCATCCTTCCAAACTTGGTTATCTATTCAAATATGAGACGTTTATGACGTGACATGAATACACATTTTCTCTATGGATACCATAGCAATTGTATTGTACAAAATTGAGTTCCTAAATTATCATCTATATTTTCGAGATATATATTACTTAAAATCAATAAAACATGAGCACTTGAATTTCTTAAAGTATAAAATGAGAAATTCTATGTTTCTTATAGGACTCATGTCTACCGCTATGATTTCCTTAAGCTAATTACACTATATTTTATCATAACATTGAAAAACAGTTGGTATTCTCACATACTGTGTAAATTGCAGAGAATATCTGGCAATCGTCTAATAAAATATCAATGACATGCTTTATTATACATTTTGATAAAGTACAATTGTTGAATTTATAAAAGCCAGATGTGAAACTATACTGTTTTTCGACAATAATCTAATACATCATATCAGAAGAGGGTTTTGTGAAGATTCTAGTAATTTAATAGTTGAATTCATGAGTCAATTAAAGCTAGACCACCATAGAAAACCTGAAAGCACTAGACGGCCATTTCGTCCTAATGTGGGATCCGTCAGTAGTGCGCCTCGACAATCCCGCACGCGGGATTCGAACACAGGACTGTGGATGAGCACTGCTGAGAAGTCCCATACTAGAATGAGACGGCCGTCCACTGCTTCCACGTTTTCCATGGTGATCTAGCTCACATCGAATCATGAATTCAACTATAATAATGCATCATAAAATATGTGACGTCTTCAGTCTCACTAATCATATTTGAAATGCCCGAAAAGTTAATCGAAATGAAATTTTATTCCCTTTTAAATACATAAGTGATGAATAATTGACGAAATAGCTTGTAAAGTAAAGGTTATGAACACAATCAGATGAACAGAAGCACCAAACAATAAATCAATGAAATGATTAACTATCAAGTAGGATGAATAGCTAAACACCAAACAATTCAGCAAACATTTATTAGCCAATTAGATCAAGGTAACTTGAAAATTGTTTTACATTCAAACAAATTCTTCACTTGTGTTTTCAGCCAACAAGATTCATCATTAAAAAAGAATCACTATTCATATCATTTAAGTTTGATCAACTGAATAGACAAGCTATCTATTTCATTATTATTTGACTGGTGTAGTTTATTTTTGAAAAGTTTAATCATAAGATGTTCATACCAACACTTCATAGTATACAAGAAAAATTATGAAATATACTACTTCGTTAATATTACCTAATAGTATGATATAAAATAAAGCGACAGATTTTTTTTATGAAGAGGTATGTAAGCAGGCAATATACTGTAGAGTATTTACCCACTACAAGTTTTATATATTTAGTTTCGAGACAAACTGTTTGTGTAAGAGCCGATTATACCACCCGGTTAGTCTAACCAAAGTAAAATGACTGGGTTTAAAAACAAAAGAATAAAATAAATTCGAAAATGTTTCTAGAAGTTTCAAAATACGAAGTTGTCAAGATTTTCTGATTGCTGTGTAATCATTAAAGAAAGGCGAAAATAAACGTACACGAATAATAGATGTTGTATAAAAGGGTGAAGAAATGAAATTTGAAACCTTACAGCAGTAAATTGGAGGATAAGTTTTATCAAATTTTTCATCAAATGGTTGACAGTTATCACAACCCATATTTTTGACTTGACTGACTACAGTTTCTTACTTAAAATCCAAACATACATTTCAAAACATGTCAGTGACAAACATAAGTAGTTCAATTAAAGTCCTTTACATAAAAAATCTTAACAAGAATACAACAGATCGTGATTGCTCATTATTCTTCAAACGTTCTCTCAAAAATATTAGACTGCAATAAAAGTTATTTCCTAACTGCATAAACGTCTACAAATCTTTAAGACTACAAAAGTTATGTATATTTTTAGGGTCTTCCTTAAGTGTCTACATGAATTCAGTTACTGTATACAACTAAACACATGAACTTAAATTGTTCGTATGAATAACGACATGATTTGATCTATCATTACTGACTTATTATTTACCATGACTAACCGTATAGAACTTCATAAAAATCATATCCACCTTTTAGTCTGAAATTATACAGTGAAAATGTTTATTAGTTGCAATTAAATCATACCTTAGAAACTATGAAGAATATATACTACTATAGTTGTAAAACATTTCTCACCTCTATCATAGTTATAATTATTATTCAGTATGCAAAGTTGAGAAATGTTAACTAAATACTATCAAATGTATAAAATGCCATTCAACTCAGCTAGTATCCAATAATAAACTTATTTATGGCATAAATTCACATAGTGTTGTTTGCTTGTATCTTCCCACTATTTAGGGCATAAGTTTTAAATTTAAAGTATATGCTGACATTCGGGTTTTTTTAATGGTAAATGAAAACTGATTAATTTTCAATGTAGTGATTGGATTCATGAGCCAATTGAAGCTAGACAACCATAGGAAACCTGAAAGTACTGGACGGCAGTTTCGTCCTAGTATGAGACTCCACAGAAGCGCGCATCCACGATATAGGGGTCGAGCGTTCACACGCAGGACCGAAGGCCCTGGGTTCGAACCCCGCGTGCAGGATCGCGGATACTCGCTGCTGAAGAGTCTCATACTAGGACGAAACAGCTATCCAGTGCTTCCAGATTTTCCATGGTGTTATAGCTTACATCGACTCATGGATTTCAACTATTAAAAAAATAAGTTTTATCTAATACTTTAAAATATATCACGTAGAAACAAAACGACTAGAATTATGTGTACACATAGTAAATATTAAGACAATATAATTTTTTTTTTTAAGTTCCGTTTTACTGAAACGTTTCAAATGGCCATCAATGTAAAACTATTTTATACAAGCTCAAATATGTGTTAACTTAATCTCTAGTTTCTGGATGAATAAATTTATAGAGATCCTGTATACACATGAAACATGATAAACATAATCAGATTTACAATTTTATCATGAATTGATATAATAGTTGTGTGAACTTATCTGATCTTTGCATATATCATTGTGATCCTATATGATATATTTTAAGTATCCATATCCAATTAGTTTCGACTCCCAATCTGCGTATATTGCCTATATTCATTTGTCAATGCTATTCTTGTCTATACAAACTGTATAAACTAAGACACAAAAGAAATAAATGGTTTAGCTTAAGCTATACACCTGCATGGTTGCCTACAGCTACAAAGATGTATGAAATATGATCTTCCAGATACATTTCAGATTCGTCTTTCAAAAATCACCACAGCACAATAGGCTTAGCTGAAGTTATTACATATACGAAATTAAATATGGAATATATTCCATGTTTATTAATTGAAATCAGAAGACATGCTACAAATAATTTATCCGAAGAAAACTAATTACTTTCGAGGTGTATTATTCAAAGTTATGTGAATGAACTGATGTTTATACATTATTTTGTAAATATCCTGGCACAATGATCATCATCCATTAAAGGAATCTTATATATATTTATTTCTTTCATGACATATGTAAATTCGGTTCATCGTACAATAATTTTCTTGAAACTCCTAATCTTTTTCATTATTTTGTTCATAATTATTGATAAGTGCATTTGAATGAAAAAAAAGAATTCGAATGTACATACAACCAAACTGTTTAGTTTACAATGTATTATCCCCATTTATTATTTCGACAAATAGTGTTAAATTGATTATCAGTATGGGGTTGCGAAGATTATTACATTTTTGATTGAGATCATGAACCGATTGAAGCTAGACCACCGTTGGAAACCTGGAAGCACTGGACGGCCGTTTCATCCCATTGTGGGACTCTGCAACAGTGCTTACTCACGGATAATGTTAGACACTAACACCATTGGATGCTGGCTCAGTAGTCCAGTAAGTTAAGCGTCCGCGCGCAAAACTGAAGGCCCTGGGTTCGAATCCCACGAGCGGGATTGTGGGTGCGCACTGCTGATGAGTTCCACATTAAGACGAAACGACCACCCAGTGCTTCCAGGTTTCCAACGGTGGTCTAACATCAATCGGTTCATGATCTCAATTAAACTGATTAGTTGGTGAGTAGTAACCAACATCACACTTATTTACTCTTAACGGCAATTTAATAATATTTACCATATTGTTATAAAACCATTAATTTAGTTAACTTGACAGAATCCTACAAGAAGTTAGTCAAAATTTGAACAGTTGATTAATATCATTTCCGATTATCACATTAACTGATGCAAATCGAAACCTTTCGGAATTTATCATATCCTCTTAAGATTTCAGATCCACTTTGATAATGAACAATGATTAATAAAATTCTTTAGTTCATATAACTCTCTATTGTTTTACTTTTTAAATCACCTTAATACTAAATAATGAATAAATATATAACTTACTTTAACAGTAGTTAATAAAATTAAAAATTGCCAAACAGGTTTTAATCGTATTACACCAAACATAATACGATATGTATCCACAAGTGATAAACATAATTCTTTTTTATTTTTATGATTAGATATATTTTTATTATTATAATTTTGTTGATTCATTTCAATGGGATCATTATTATGATGACAATCGATTAAATATTCATTTACATTATTTGATTTTGTTTTCATACAATCGATAGGATAATTTGTTACATTATTTGAAATTGAATTTGTTTTACAAATTAATTCAAGATTCATTGTATCATTGATTAAATGATTTTCTTGTAAATATTGATTTTTTATTGGATATAAATTTATTGATTTTAATGATAATTTTGAATGATCAATATTATTATCAATTTCTTCATGATTATATTCACAATATAATGAATTAGAATTTTTAGATTCTTGAATAATATCAACATTAGGAATTAAATTACTATTATTATTATTATTATTATTGTTGCCATGTTTACAATGATGATTTAAACAATGAGATTCATTGAATGTTTTTCGTTTGAATATTTTACTAAATAAATTATTTAAACAATTTCTAAATTCAGTATCTAATTTTGATTCATTTTCATGTTTAAATAAAACTAAGAATGTATTAGTTACCATGAATGTAATTCCCCAAAAATAAAGAAAACCTTTATGAAAAGAAAAAAAGAAAAGAAATAATTCTGTAAAAAAAACTGAATTGTATAGATTATAGTATAATTTAATGATTTTCATTATTTTCCTAATATAAAATCAATGTATGAAACAGTAAAATAAAAAGTAATGAATTTTGGCATCAATTTGATTAACTTGATGAATGGATATATATGTTTATTAATAAAGAAAGTAATTTGCTACGTATTTCAGGCGGGACTCTAATTTATGGACGAGCCAATCTGAGGCGTTTGAGAGATTTCAAGGTCATGGCGCCAACTTCAGTGCTTAATGCTAACGTACGATCGGTTCACAGGGAATTTTGTACAAAACGTGATAATTGAGCGGTTATAACAGATAAAACGGCGAGACTATATTTTGTGAACGGATCAATCAGGTAAAAAATAATAGATCTCGGATTTTACCGCGAAAGCCTTCCATCCATTTAGCTAAATAAATTTCTGGCATCATAGCTGATGTCAATTCGTGATGAAAACCCCACATATATTTCCTAAATAAGGCAAATCACGACAATTATTGCGAACTGAATAATAAAAGCACCCGTAACACTGACAGCAGCCAGGTACTACAATATATACGGATGTTTGGAAAGCGTACAGACCCCAATATAGGCTTGGTTATGTGCATCGTGTCTTTATCCGCAAGTAGAATTTTGTGCACTTAACAACTGGAGTGCACATAAACGAGGCTGAAAGAGTTTTTCAGACTTTATCATGACTCCAGAGGCCGACTATTCTGTAGCCGCTTGAATGGTTTCCTCTACTTCATGCATTAGGATTTTAGAACCTCAGAACCTCTTTCTAACCTCGACAAGTTTTTGAACCACGTATAAAAAGTGTATCCACTTTATTTCCTTGGTTTCCTATAACATATTTTTGCTCCATACTGACTGTTTGCTGATTGGCTAATATTTCTCAAGGTCACTCAAGATTCGTTCAAATGTCATCCATAAATTACAGTCTCGCCGTATTTCTATGTTAAGCAACATCTTTGAAATTATTTAATGAAACGTATTTACAAACATTAAATAGAAATAATAACATTCTTACTTATTCCTACTTATTACCTTTACCAACGAAACATTTTCCAAATATTGTCATTATATCGTAGTGTAGTGTGAGCTACTTATATCGATTTACGTAGTATATGAACGCTAGTCAGGTAGCAGAAGGTTGAGAGAATTGAGAAGGAAAGAACAAGAACAGAAAGTGATTGATATGGAAATGTAGGAACAATGAAGTCTGAGATAAATAATGAACATTTTGCAAATGAAGTATTTATTGTATGGTTTACAGATTTTACCAAAAATATACATTTGATTGTCCCCATTTGTGTTCTCTTTCACTACAATAGGATAAAGTTTAATTCTAGCTGATATTTCATAATTGACAAACTTCTTCATCAACCAGTATCTTCTGGTTTATAATTGGTGAAGTATTTGAAATATTACGGAATAAATTTGTGGCAAGAAATGTATAATATAAAACTTAATTACTGTTAATTCTTTTGTGAGTGTTATATATAGTTCCCTTGTGTTTAAATGAACTTATCATACATTCACTCAGAAGAAAGAGTATATATATATATAGTTTAATAGTTGAATTCATGAGTCAATTGAACCCAGAACAGCATGGGAAACCTGAAAGCATTGGATGGCCGTTTCGTCCCAGTATGGGACTTCTCGGCAGTGCGTGTCCACGATCCCGCCTCGCGAGATTCGAACTCAATACTTATTGGTCTCGTGTGTGAGCCCTTAACTTCTAGACCACCTAGCCGGCATCCAACAGTATTAATGACTGAATTTAACTAATCCAACTATTAAATTACTATAATATCCACAAAACCCCTCTCTAATTATATATATATAATAGTTTTAAAAACTAACCATGTTTTATATTTGATTTCCATCATTTACATTTTATAATTCATCTATTCACGAATGAAACTCGAATTAGAAATTTTGAATTATGTAAAGTTCATTTGGGATTTTGCATGAAAATAAAACTTTTAGCTTAATTCTTAATTATGTTGTTTATACAAAAATCGTAAGTGATTAATTAATTAATTTTTTTTTAGTGTAAAACTTTTTTTTCGGTAATATCTATGACCTTACTTGAGGAACATATAGCAATAAAAATAATTTAATTAGTAATAAATTCATTATCAGATAAACTTTAGTTAACTTAACAAAACGATTAAACAGGTTATACATGTATACTTAGATACCACGTGACTTTCTGAGTACTTTTACTAAAGTGTAGATCAAGGTCATCTAAACAATAATTATCATGTTTATAGTTATTTTACAATATTGTCTTTTACTAGTAACTGATGAATATGAATATATAATGAATAACTAGAATGAAAGATGTATAATAGTGAATAATTTTGAAAACTGAAGAAATTCTATGACTACTAATGTATTGCTATCGGTAATAACTGTCTTACAACAAACGGAGTTTAATCTTATAACTTCAAGTTTCTCGATAAAATTTCAAGGATTTTTTAGTTAGTCTATTATTAGCGAACAACCAATAGTTATTTGGATGAGACACTTGCGGGAGTCGAGAGAGCTGTTAACGATGCCTATAAGTGACTGTTACCCAATATCGTTAATTAAATGATTTTTAATGTAAATAACTGGTTTTCAAGCCACTTATCTAAAGGTAAAGCTCTGTAATCGAATTTTGAAGGCCCTAGGCTCAGTCAGTGGCGTGTTTTGGATGTTATGGATTTTCTGACGTTTCATGACTCAGCGTAAGCCACTTCCTCAGAGAATAAATAACCATAACAATAAATAACCAGAAAATCTAATTTTTCTACTCAATGAGATATTACAAATATATTATTTTATTTATACAATCCACCCAATGTTCCGTTTATTCGAAATTATTAAGTCAAACCTTGGTAATGATACCTGCAAGCTCCGTATGTTATCATTCCACTATAATTTATGAAGTTCCCACTGATGTACTTATTAATGTATTGAATGTTGTTTCACAAGTACAAAACACTTTATTTAATAAAGCCTAATCCCTCCATCCATATCGAAATGTAGCTTAAACCTAGTAAACAAATCAATAATAATTTGTTGAATTATGAAATTTTTCTAAATATATGTTCATATCAATAGTTGGGATCATGAGTCGATTGAAGCTAAACCACTATGGAAAACCTGGAAACATTGAATGGCCGTTTCGTTTTATTACGGCGCTCCTCCATAGTGCGCATCCACGATCCCGCTTCGAGAGATTCGAACCCAGGATCTATCAGTCTCGTGCGCGAGCGCTTAACCTCTAGACCACTGAACTGGCATTCAACGCTCTTAATATCTAACTTTAACCAATCCACAAAATTGAGTGACACATCCACCATTTTCACAGATTGAAATCATGAGTCAGTTGAAGCTAGACCACCTGGAAGTACTGGACGGCCGTTTCGTCCTAGTATGGGACTCCTTAGCAGTGCGCATCCACGATCCCGCACCACGCGGGGCTCGAACCCAGGACCTACTGGCTTCGCGCGCGAGCACTTAACCAGTAGACCACTGAGCCGGCATCCAACGGTGTTAATGTCTAACTTCAACCAATCCACGAAGTTGCGCCACCATTGTTATCAGTGGTGGTCTAGTTTCAATTGATTCATGATCTCAACTATTGAAATTACTATAATATCCACAAAAACCCCTTCTGATATGTTTATATTTTTACTTATTTATTTATTTATGTTCTGATAATTTCCACGATTAAATTTTTACTTTTGTCATATTACGAATAGTATGAAATTTTTCTATAGTTCTCAATCTGACATATACTATAACTTTTTTCAAGCATTCAGTTTGTCAAAATATGTTAATATGTAATGATGATGTAACAGATTTGACTATTTGAGCACATAAGTCTTTGATCATTTTAGTTTGGTATTTATAAGTATTAATTTCATTCAGTATTTTTCTAATCAAGAATTTTAGTTTTGTTCTTCAAATAACCATGAAATCTAACTTTCATATAGTTTTATGCATATTTAAGTATTGTAGAAGTGCAATATTTCCGAGTACGTTTTGTAACCTAAATTCTGTGATGTTGCTTTATTTTACCTAACCAGTAATCATTACTTAAGCAGACAGATTTCTCAAATTCTTCAAAAACGTATGATATACGTTAGTATCTTATAACTAATGAATAACTCCGAATCCACATTAGTAACCTATGAAACATTTTCAAGTTAAAAACCTATCGTGGATCCTATACATTTTACATAGATAAGATCATAAAACTTGTAATTTATGTATTGGTTATTATTAATTAGTTAGATGTGATTACTCCTACTATACAAAAAGCAAAACAAACTGATAACAAGCCTCAAATAGTATGAGAATAGCTGTTTAACATTATACAATTTTCCATAGCTTGTCAATCTTTCAAATTTCTATTCAAATATACCACAACTTCCACATTTTTTAAGAGTAATTCATTGCATAATTGTTGTGATTTATTATTTAAGATTTATGAAATGGCATTAGCTAAAAGTATATGTAGCTCTCAACCTTTCCGACAAAAACGAAGGGTTATATATATATATATATATATATATATATATATATATTCTGAACAAATAAACTTCTCATCTATGTTTTGCGATGAACTGTAAACAGATTCAAATAAATTACAAATAAGAAACTATTGGGCTATTGTCGAAGATGTAAATCACCGAATACTTCCAACTCTTGAGATTGAATGGATTTGTGAATGCACATTGTTGGTAAGTTTCATATTAGAGGAAAACAACAATTCAATCCTCTCTGATTTCCAGCAATTGAATTCAGTTTATAACAACAACAAAGAAATATCTCAAAATTAAGTTAATTACTAGGACCGATCAAAAATTAAATTTATATTCATATTTACTACTTTATTATTGTATTAAAACTAGAGATTAGATGACTGACTGATCAATGTGTTCTCATACACGTCTGTCGAATTCATGATATACTATTCTTTTTTGTTTATTAAAACTAAAAACAACCTAATTACTAAATTACTATTAAAGTTCTATCCCTCAATATCTGAAATATTCAAGACTGATTTGTTATACTTTGTGATGTATATATATTTAAGTTAATAAATAAGAGGAATATAGACAATGAAAAATTATTTATAATCTTTGCATAAATGATTAGACCATAGAATCAATCAATCAATTATAATCACTGAATAATTCCCACTTTTTTGTTGTATACAGGTCAACAGTATCCTGTGTATTCTTTTATCTGTATATTCAATAAATTACTGTTATAATATTTTGTTTCTACTCAATTAGGCCTGAAATAAAATTTCATGTTTTATCCTCATCTATTAGTTTCTACTACTACTACTGTAGTGAACAAGAACACGGGTGGAGACAATCGAATGTATTTAGCACGAAAATTACAGACTTTCAATAAAATCTGAATACCATATAGTAAATCGTCAATTTGCAAAATATTAATGCATCATATCAAACTGGACTATTTTTGTTGCAAACACCAATCCATTGTCTCCCATTCCATTGCTCATGCGTTTCTAACAAATTCCATTGTGTTCTCGCTCTTCTTTTCTTGATCTTCCCCTCATCTTCTGCTGCCAGACATTACGTTCCTGTCTCGCATAATATACTACTTATATTGACATAAGTAGTATGTTTGTCGTGAACAGAAGGTCTGGCAGCAGAGATGCAAGAGGATTGAACAGTAAAGAATCGAAACAGGATGCAATTTGTATGAAAATGCAAGAACAATAAAGTCTGAGTCATTTTGAGACAATTGATGGTCATTTTGCAAATTAAGCATTTACTTTATGATTGTTAGATTTTGTGTTAAATACATTCGATTGCTCCCACTCGTGGTCTGTTCACTGCAACAGAACCAACTAGTGGGCAAAAATATAGATATGAGACTTTATTTGGAATTTGATCGGGCAGGTATAAAATATACCAATAATATTTTGAACATGTAAATAAAACAAAACCAAGGATGCTGACTAACTGTAAATAAACAATAATAATGATTGTATATATGATGAATGTCGACAACACTTCACTTACCAGAAAATGTAATCAACCCTTTACCTTCAATAGGTGTCCATCTAAGATAGCTATTTGAAATATTAGGTGATTCTAAGCATAAAAATAGAATAAATGCAGTCACATATCCAATTGTTTGTCCAACAACATTACATGTAGATGCCCAACCTAGATTTTTCCTGCAAAGATAATTTCAAAAATAAAAAGAAGAAATTACATGGAATTACTGACAGAAATGTTAAATATCCAACATAAATAAAAAGAAAAAAAATCTTTTAGTTAAAATAACGTTGGATTCAGAAGGGGACTTTGTGGATATGATAGCAATTTCAATAGTCGAAATCATGAGTCGATTGAAGCTAGACCACCATGGAAAATCTGGAAGCACTGCTTCGAACCTCGCGAGGCGGTATCATGGATCCTCACTGTTGAGGAGCCCTACAGTAGGACGAAACGACTGTCTATGTTTTCCATAGTGGTTTCATCATATTAAACGATGAATATTTGAAGGAAGAATATTCTCTTTAGGTTACGAGCCAAGTACATCGTTTAAAGTTAATAAATATGGTTTAATCAAACAAATATTTTCGATAATTTCCTATCAAACTTTACAATTACAAATTGGCAATATTTATCGAAAGTATTAGAATTAATATGGTTAATGAGATCGGAATATACATGTATGACAGAATGATAGTAATGATAATAATTATAGCATAATAATTATAGCATTCATAGTCATGAATGTGCTTATATAACCATTAGATATTTGTCTGTATGTAAAGAGTGAACAAAGAACTTCGTCTGGATAGTAAACTGAATGAATCTTAATAAATACTGTAAATAACCTGAAGAAATATGAACTTAAGTTTGAGATTGATAATAATAATAATAATAATAATAATAATAATAATAATGAATTCACTTGGTATTTAAATAAAGCCAAAACAAATATTGATGCAGAATAATATAAATTCATTACGTTTCGTGGTTTCTCGTCAGCTGCTTACAACTAAATATGTCAGGAGAGGTTTTGTGGAGATTTTAGAAATTTCACTGATTGAAATCATGAGTCAATTGAAGCTAGACCACCATGGAAAATCTGGAGGCACTGAAAGGCCATTTCGTCCCAGTACGGGACTCTCAGCAGTGCGCATCCACGATCCCGTGCCCCGCGGGATCCGAACCCAGGACCTATCAGTCCCACGCCAGTCGCTTAACTAACTAGACCACTAAGACGGCATCCAACGGTGTTGATGTCTAACTTCAACCAATCCACGAAGTTGGCCCACCGTACACCATTGTCTTCAGTGAGTTGATATCTCAGAACAGACCTCGTTGAACTCCACTGATAACTGAATATGTAATAAAATTTTACATAGAGATTAGAAATAGTATGAAACAATTGACATGAGTGAATGTAAAGGACTGGAATGACAACGGTTATCAATGATAACTATATATATGTACAAGAACAGGTCAGAAGTTATTAGGTGTTAGAATCAATACAATTATTTACATTCACTTATATAAATTGTTCCATACTATTTCTTATCTCTATGTAAAATTTTAATACATATTTGGTTGTAGGCAGCTGACGAGAAACCACGAAATGTAATGAATTCATATTATTCTGCATCAATATTTGTTCTGGCTTTATTTAAATTCATAAAGGGAACTAATCACTTGGTATTGTTTACTCGAATCTTCCGAATGATGTTAGGAGTGCAATTGATCAGTCTCTTATTGGTATATGTGCATACTGTGTGCATTGCCTCGATATTGCCTTAATTCATAATTGCAGTCCTAACGTCAATGGAAAGATTCAAGTAAACAGTGCCACCGCTCAAGCAGTTGGCTTTCAGGGCTCAGTAGCTAAGTAGATAGCCCAATGGCGTTTGGAGCGAACGGTACTGAGTTTGAGCCTCAGAGGGAATATCAACTCTGAGATGTAGTTACATCCAGCTGGCGAGTCCCAAATAGAACAGAACGCGCATCCTGGATTCCACTGCTAGCCACTATCCATCTTTGCTTATAATAATAATAATAATAATATACAAAAAAACAGAGGTGTACATAAAAATAATATTTACACTTGTCCAATGTTATTGGTATAAATAATAATTATTAATATAATACAATGATGTCTAACGATCATTTGAGGTAAGTAACCAAAAATTGGTTTCTGAATTTATACGTTTAATTTGAAAATTTTAGTAAATATTAACTCAGCTATTCTTGGTGAATGGGGAAGAAAACAGATTGACAATTTCACTAGTACTCAGTATATGATGTAAAATATTGAGAATCTATCAATTTCATTTTCTGTATTCACTAAGTAAGAAAATATCATACCTTTATAATACGTTTTTTTCTTGAATATTTTTACCTAATCTCTGTAAACTGCTCTAAAGAATGTCTTGGTATATTTGATGGATTAAATAAGTGATTTCATTTTATAGATTGAACTTATTGACACATTTTGCATAACATGCAGACAAACTACAAAGATGACAGAGCTAACAGAATTAATTGTTTTAATAAAAAAACTTAGAAAACATAGATCAGAATATCATTTTGGTGTATATGTGCAAAACTGATTATTATCTATGGACTGTCGGTATTTAACAAAATGATGCTTTTATTAGCTTAATTTTGCTTTCAATATGTGCATATTTAACCTTTAACCGTGAGACTAATCTAATCAGAACATTTTAAAATATTTTATTTCAATTTAAAAATAACCACATTGTATTATTACTATTGCCCTCAAATGCCCTGGTACGGCCGAGAGTAGGGAGAGTCCGTACTCCCTCTCGAAATACTATTACATGACCACGTATATACAGCTACTGTCAGGAAAGTCCTACTCGTTGCCTTCTCGTGGAGAGGGTGTTGTTTGCGAAATTGAGAGGACGAAAAGCGGATGTCCGGCGCTTTACTCAGGTTGGTGAACACGAAAGTTTCATCCAGCGGGGGCTGGAAAACCTTGATTTCAAACCAATGTCACAAATGAGCTTCAAGATCCTGAAGGTCACCGGCTACCATGGGATTGCATCATTTGACGTTGCTCCATTGTCTTGTGAATTCGACCTTTAGGTCAAAGGCTCCGGGTGTGATCCCATAAGAAAACCACCTGGTTCGATCTGGGCACCCACACGCAAATCAAGTGACTTGTGTGGAGCATATGTATTCAATGCCCCTTTGTACCAATATTTATATGTTCAAATAAATATAATAACACTGCTATTAGACAAAAATAAAAGTCGTATACTTGTCAACGTTTATTTTCTGATATTTGCATACTATCTCAGTTATGGGCGACATTGTAATAAAAACAAACTCAACAATAGTTTGTTTTTTTTTAAAAATATATAGTCCGTATATTGTAGACGCCAAATACGGTCGACACTATCTAAAATAAAAAACTTATTCTCCTATTCTTTTTTTGTGTAAATTCTATGCTTCATTAAAAGTTAATAGGATATAAGTTGTCCTATATATATAATGAGATTATTACATAACAGCAATAAATACAATAATTATAACTATGGAATAATTCAATATTCAATTGTATAATGTTTCTTTTAAGCTACCAGTTTATCAGTATTTATTGATCAATCTAATCATAATAAAGAATGAATAACATTCTTTTGTATATAATGTCTATTACATCAATAAAGTAAAACAGGAAATATATAGGAATAGAATAAATGAGACAAAATAGAAATAAGCAAACCAGTATGTATGTAGATAGTAGAATAAAGTAAATAGACAGTGGATAAAACTTAATTTCCTGTTTTAACTAATATTATGCTATTGAACCAATCAGGACTAAGATATTTGAGAAGAAAAGCAAGTTAGTGTTTATTTCGCTTATGGCTTCATAAAAGATATACTCATTGAAAGTTTAGATTATTTGGATCAATAATCAAAAATTTTCTAATTCATCTTATAGTGAAAATCATATGATTTGAGCATAAAAACACTTTGAATTTCGACTTGTTGTAAAAATTCTGTTTAAGAGATACTTTGCATAAAGTTCATTTCGTTCTTGTTCTTTTTTCGGAATTCAACTTTCAACTCAGTAATGTCATCACTGCGGCATAGAATAATAGGCACTTCTTTCACACATACCCCGCTTACAAAGATGAGAAATTTAATTTATATAGCTCTCATATAACTATTCAGTAGCAAACATTTCAGGTAGTTTAAGAATAAGTATTTTGAAAGTTATGTTGCTTCATTTTTAATTCTTTATGATTCATCAAAAAACCTGAACATATATTGATCTCACTTTGAGTGTATGAGTTTTCATTCAAAAGATCATAAACCCTGAAAAAGTTATTAACACTGTTAAAGTAACGTATGTATTTAATTTCCATTGCTCTTTTGGTGACAGATTTTTTATTTCAATGGCCCGTGTACTCATAAACTAAACATGAGGCTGAAAATTTTAAGGTGTTTTTTTTAGCGTTGTTTAAATTTGGTAGCAGAGAACAGTTTCACCAACTCCAATGGATACAGGTTGTTTACAGAATAGTATCAAAAATCATAAATAGTATATATATATAATGAGAAAGCAGTCTATAAACTTTGGAGAACTTCTATGTAATTAGTATTTATTTAAGATCTTCTTTATAAGATTGTATTCAAGATAACTTATGTTGTTATTCCAGGAAACAAATATATAAGCGAACTGTAACATTCAATGAAATAAACAGATCCTTAGCTAATACATAACGTTTCATATAATCATACTTGTATTAAATTTCTCCATAGTCTAAAAATGAGTTCATTATCAAAGGGATTAAAGTTGGAAATTACTAAATAGATGATTAAAAGTTCATTTTATCTTATTTCAGACTCATCAGTGACGTTCTATCAAAGATACTTCTGATACAGAATATACAATACTAAGTTTATGCACCTAGTCTATTAAATCAGAGTTATCTAATAAGAATGTAAGTGAACCAATAATTAACTACCTAATAGTAACTCATTCAAGAAAACTGGTATGGTTAACAACAGATTAGTTAATTTAAATGTGACTGACAGACTAAATTGACTTTCTTCCACTTATCCTTAACATGTAGTCACATCTTAAAGAAGAGTAATTATTTAGTTTATGAAGTTAGTTATATCTTCTAGTTATAAACTTTTGAGTATGTTATATTGT